CGACTGACTGAGATGACTGGCTGATGCACCACCTGTGCCCCCTACTGTGCCAACCTGCTATGCTTTAGCCACCCGGCGCTCCGCTCGTTGTTGTGAGCGTCGCTCCTCCGCCCTCCGTTGTTGTTGGAGGGCGACTACCTCCAACTGCCCAGTAGCGTCCTTCACGAGCCTCCTCCACAGAGGCCGATCTTGACACCGCTGGTACCAGTCATCGGCAAGTCCACTCAGCTCCACGTCCTCCTGTACCACGTCACTCCATCTCTTCTCTAGCCCGTGCCGTGCCCGTTTAGCCCCCTCGATCCGGCCGAACAAAAGCTATTTCGGCATGCGGTGGCTGGGCATGCGGGCTACATGACCCAGCCAACGCAGCCTTGCCTGCCAGAGGAGCTCACCGATGGGACCTTGGCCCAGATCTTTCAAGGATTTGTGAGCTCCTCACACAATCCAGCCTGGTTAAACCCAGGATGGATCGTAGGCAGGCCAGCCTAAATGTTTCTTACCGGCGAAGATGTTCCATTAGTGGGGTCCATGTTTCGCAAGCGTAGAGAAGGGAGGGAATGACTGTGGCCGAGAAGACCTGAAGCTTAGTGCGGAGCGACAGACCAGGTAGCTTCCACACAGCGTTACGCAACCGATGAAAATATATTGCCGCTCGACTGATTCGGAGTGAGACCTCTGCTGTTAAACTGGAGCCGGTCATAAGCACACTGCCCAGGTATGGGAAACTCTCCATTCTCTCCACAACTGCCCCATCACCGATTGGGAGTTGTGGGGGTGGAGTATCCGATGGTACAAAATACCCAGGCAGGTGCTTAGTTTTGGTGGGGCAGATGGTAAGGCCCCACCTCTTAGTGGCACGCTCCAGTCTCAGCAGCAGCGTCTCCAACTCTTCCTCTGAATGAGCAGCTATTACCAAATCATCGACATACATAACGTGGTTGAGCAATAGGGAGCCATCCCTTGACCGCACCCGGGCATCGATCAGCCTCCCATTATATCTGTACCAAATGGAGATTCCCCCGGTACAGCTATTGAAGGCTTCACGAACAACGTGGTCAAAATAGATGTTAAATAATGTGGGAGCCAGAAGACATCCCTGTCGCACCCCAAGGTGTACAGGGAATGGCTCTGACTCCCGGCCACGTAGTTTTACCCGGGCCCGTTCACCATCATGAAGGTCCTTAATGATCGTGAGCAGAGGGTCAGGTACTCCAAAAGCACGAAGAACAACCCAGAGCCCAGGCCTACTGATGGTATCATAGGCCTTGACCAGGTCAATAAAGCAGAGATGTAGGTCTTGCTGGAATTCCCTACACCTCTGCTGTAGCAGACGGACAGAAAATATGGCATCTGTGCATGACCACCCTTTCCTGAAACCGCATTGGGGCTCCGCAAGCCTCTCCTCAGCGTGCCTGGCAAGGCGATGTTGAATTATCCTTGCCAGGACCTTTCCCGGCACACTGAGGAGTGAGATGCCCCTGTAGTTGCACACACGCACACACGCACGCGCACACACACGTACACACACGCACACACACACGCACACACACACGTACACACACGCACACACACACACACACGTACACACGTACATACACGCACGCACACACACACACGCGCACGTACACACACACGTACACACACACACACGCACACACGCACGCACACACACACACACACACGTACGCACACACACACACGCACGCACACACGTGTTGTGAATATTGTCGTGAATATTGTCGTGAATATCGTTGTGAATATTGTTGTTGTGAATATTGTTGTTGTGATTATTATTGTAGAAGCTCTACCGGAAGGAGATCCACCCTCCGTTCAAGCCGGCTGTAGGGAAAGCGGACGACACCAGATGCTTTGACCCGGAGTTCACCTCCAGAACTCCAAAAGGTCACTCACTCACCCACTCGCCCGCCCGCTCACCCACTCGCTCTCCTGCCCGCTCACCCACTCACCCACTCGCCCGCTCTCACCCGCTCACCCACTCGCCCACTCCCCATCTCCCTACCTCGCGTCTAGCCTAGCTCACTATGAGTCTGTGGTGAGCTCTGTGTGTGTGGTGAGTCTGTGGTGAGCTCTGTGTGTGTGTGGTGAGTCTGTGGTGAGTCTGTGGTGAGTCTGTGTGTGTGTGGTGAGTCTGTGGTGAGTTCTGTGTGTGTGTGGTGAGTCTGTGGTGAGCTCTCTCTGTGTGTGTGGTGAGTCTGTGGTGAGCTCTGTGTATGTGTGTGGTGAGTCTGTGGTGAGCTCTGTGTGTGTGTGGTGAGTCTGTGGTGAGTCTGTGGTGAGTCTGTGTGTGTGTGGTGAGTCTGTGGTGAGTTCTGTGTGTGTGTGGTGAGTCTGTGGTGAGCTCTCTCTGTGTGTGTGGTGAGTCTGTGGTGAGCTCTGTGTGTGTGTGGTGAGTCTGTGGTGAGCTCTGTGTGTGTGTGGTGAGTCTGTGGTGAGCTCTCTCTGTGTGTGTGGTGAGTCTGTGGTGAGCTCTGTGTGTGTGTGGTGAGTCTGTGGTGAGTCTGTGGTGAGCTCTCTCTGTGTGTGGTGAGTCTGTGGTGAGCTCTGTGTATGTGTGTGGTGAGTCTGTGGTGAGCTCTGTGTGTGTGTGGTGAGTCTGTGGTGAGCTCTGTGTGTGTGTGGTGAGTCTGTGGTGAGCTTTCTCTGTGTGTGTGGTGAGTCTGTGGTGAGCTCTGTGTATGTGTGTGGTGAGTCTGTGGTGAGCTCTGTGTGTGTGTGGTGAGTCTGTGGTGAGCTCTCTCTGTGTGGTGAGTCTGTGGTGAGCTCTGTGTGTGTGGTGAGTCTGTGGTGAGTCTGTGGTGAGCTCTCTCTGTGTGTGGTGAGTCTGTGGTGAGCTCTGTGTGTGTGTGTGGTGAGTCTGTGGTGAGCTCTCTCTGTGTGTGGTGAGTCTGTGGTGAGCTCTGTGTGTGTGTGGTGAGTCTGTGGTGAGCTCTCTCTGTGTGTGGTGAGTCTGTGGTGAGCTCTGTGTGTGTGTGGTGAGTTTGTGGTGAGCTCTGTGTGTGGTGAGTCTGTGGTGAGCTCTCTCTGTGTGTGGTGAGTCTGTGGTGAGCTCTGTGTGTGGTGAGTCTGTGGTGAGCTCTGTGTGTGGTGAGTCTGTGGTGAGCTCTGTGTGTGTGGTGAGTCTGTGGTGAGCTCTGTGTATGTGTGTGGTGAGTCTGTGGTGAGCTCTGTGTGTGGTGAGTCTGTGGTGAGCTCTGTGTGTGTGTGGTGAGTCTGTGGTGAGCCCTCTCTGTGTGTGTGGTGAGTTTGTGGTGAGCTCTCTGTGTGGTGAGTCTGTGAGGAGCGCTGTGTGTGTGGTGAGTCTGTGGTGAGCTCTGTGTGTGTGTGTGGTGAGTCTGTGGTGAGCTCTGTGTGTGGTGAGTCTGTGGTAAGCTCTCTCTGTGTGTGTGGTGAGTCTGTGGTGAGCTCTCTTTGTGTGGTGAGTCTGTGGTGAGCCCTCACCACAGACTACTGCTGATGATGATGCTGCTACTACTGATGATGATGCTGCTACTACTACTGCTGTTGCTCTAAATGATGCTGCTGCTGATAATGATGTTGCTACTGCTGATGATGATGCTGCTACTATTGCTGCTGATGATGCTGCTACTATTGCTGCTGATGATAATGATGTTGCTACTATTGCTGCTGCTGATGATGATGATGCTACTACTGCTGATGATGCTGCTACTATTGCTGCTGCTGATGATGATGTTGCTACTATTGCTGCTGCTGCTGATGATGCTGCTACTATTGCTGCTGCTGATGATGCTGCTACTATTGCTGCTGATGATGATGCTGCTACTATTGCTGCTGCTGATGATGATGTTGCTACTATTGCTGCTGATGATCTAAATGATGCTGTTGATGATGATGATGCTGCTACTATTGCTGCTACTATTGCTGCTGCTGTGTGTGTGTACGTGTGTGTGTATGTGTCTGTGTGTGTCTGTGTGTGTATGTATGTATGTGTGTCTGTGTATGTGTCTGTGTGTGTATGTGTCTGTGTGTGTGTGTATGTGACTGTATGTGTGTGTATGTGACTGTATGTGTGTGTATGTGACTGTATGTATGTATGTGTGTCTGTGTGTATGTGTGTGTATGTATGTATGTGTGTCTGTGTGTATGTGTGTGTATGTATATGTCTGTATGTATGTGTGTATGTGTATGTATGTGTGTATGTGTATGTATATGTATGTATGTGTGTATGTGTCTGTATGTATGTCTGTGTGTATGTATGTATGTGTGTATGTATGTGTGTGTATGTATATGTATGTATGTGTGTATGTGTCTGTATGTATGTCTGTGTGTATGTATGTATGTGTGTATGTATGTGTGTGTATGTGTCTGTGTGTGAGGAGCAATAGCGTAGTGGTTAGCGCTACGCTGCGCTATGAACCTGGCGACCCGGGTTCGATTCCCGCTCACGGCCAACACCAGTGACGATTATCTGAACCGGTCCCGGGCCTCCCCTAGGTCGACTCAGCCTCAAATGAGTACCTGGTGCGGTGTGTAGTAAACATCGCCACTGGGGAGACAAAGGCGGTCGGGCGTGGTGCTGGCCACCCACCCCCTCGTGTACCGTTCCGGCCTTCATAGGTGCTCGCTAACAGCACTTGCCCCTACAGTCTGTTAAGGCTATACGGGGGATCTTTGATCTGTGTGTATGTGTGTGTCTGTGTGTGTATGTCTCTGTGTGTGTATGTGTCTGTGTGTGTATGTGACTGTATGTGTGTATGTATGTGTGTGTATGTATGTGACTGTATGTATGTAACTGTATGTATGTGTGTGTATGTCTGTATGTGTCTGTGTCTATGTGTGTGTGTATGTCTGTATGTGTGTCTATGTCTGTGTGTATGTATGTATGTGTGTATGTATGTATGTGTGTATGTATATATGTATGTGTGTGTATGTATGTCTGTGTGTGTGTGTCTGTGTATGTATGTGTGTGTATGTATATATGTATATATGTGTGTATGTATGTGTGTATGTGTATGTCTGTATGTGTGTATGTGTCTGTGTGTATGTATGTATATATGTGTGTCTGTGTGTATGTATGTATATATGTGTGTCTGTGTGTATGTGTATATATGTGTGTCTGTGTATGTATGTGTGTGTATGTATCTGTATGTGTGTGTATGTATGTGTGTCTATGTATGTGTGTATGAATGTGTATGTGTATGTATGTATCTGTATTTGTATGTGTGTATGTATATATATCTGTGTGTGTGTATGTATATATGTATATATCTGTGTGTGTATGTATGTGTGTCTATGTATGTGTGTATGTGTATGTATGTATGTGTATGTATGTATCTGTATGTGTCTGTGTGTGTGTATATATATGTATATATCTGTGTGTCTGTGTGTATATGTATATATCTGTGTGTCTGTGTGTATATGTGTATATCTGTGTGTCTGTGTGTGTATGTATATATGTATATATCTGTGTGTGTGTATATGTGTATATCTGTGTGTCTGTGTGTGTCTGTGTATATATGTATATATCTGTGTGTGTATGTATGTATATATGTATATATCTGTGTGTGTGTATATGTATATCTGTATGTGTATGTATGTATATATGTATATATCTGTATGTGTATGTATGTATATATGTATATATCTGTGTGTGTGTGTATATGTATATATCTGTGTGTGTATGTATGTATATATGTATATATCTGTGTGTGTGTATATGTGTATATCTGTGTGTATGTGTATGTATGTATCTGTATTTGTATGTCTGTATGTGTATGTATGTATATATGTATATATATATGTATGTGTATGTCTGTGTGTATGTGTATATATGTATATATCTGTGTGTATGTATATATATGTGTGTGTGTGTATGTATATATCTGTGTGTGTATGTATATATCTGTGTGTGTGTGTATGTATATATGTGTGTGTGTATATGTATATATGTGTGTGTGTATCTGTATATATATCTGTGTGTGTGTATATATATATCTGTGTGTGTATATGTATATATGTGTGTGTGTATATATATGTATGTATGTGTATGTGTCTGTGTATATATGTATATATATCTGTGTGTGTATATGTATATATGTGTGTGTGTATATATCTGTGTGTGTATGTATATATCTGTGTGTGTGTATGTATATATGTGTATGTCTGTGTGTATGTGTATATATATGTGTGTGTGTGTGTTCCCCGTAGACTCCCCCGGGCTGCCCCCGAGTGCGAGTGCTCATCAGCTGTTCCGCGGCTTCAGCTTCGTGGCTCCGTGCGCTCTGGGGGGCGACGGCGGCGGCGGCGGCGCTCCCCCAGCAGTCACGCGCCCCCTGGTGGTGCAGGCAAGACGCCACCACCATCGTCATCATACACCACCATCATCATCATCACCATACACCACCATCATCATCACCATCATCACCACCATCATCATCATCATCATACACCACCATCATCATCATCACCACCATCATCATCATCATCATACACCACCACCATCATACACCATCATCATACACTATCATCACCACCACCATCATCATCATACACCACCATCATCATCATACACCACTACCACCATCATCATCACCACCACCATACACCACCACCATCATACACCACCACCATCATCATACACCACCACCATCGTCATCATCACCATACACCACCATCGTCATCATACACCACCATCACCACCATCACCATCATCACCACCATCATACACCACCATCATCATACACCACCACCACCATCATCATCATACACCACCACCATCATCATCATCACCACCATCATCATCATCATACACCACCACCATCATACACCATCATCATACACTATCATCACCACCACCATCATCATCATACACCACCATCATCATCATACACCACTACCACCATCATCATCACCACCACCATACACCACCACCATCATACACCACCACCATCATCATACACCACCACCATCGTCATCATCACCATACACCACCATCGTCATCATACACCACCATCACCACCATCACCATCATCACCACCATCATACACCACCATCATCATACACCACCACCACCATCATCATCATACACCACCATCATCATCATCACCATCATCGTCATCATCATCATACACCACCATCATCACCACCACCACCACCACCATCGTCATCATACACCACCATCATCATACACCACCACCACCATCATCATCATACACCACCATCATCATCATCACCATCATCGTCATCATACACCACCATCATCATCATCATCACCATCATCGTCATCATACACCACCATCATCATCATCATCACCATCATCGTCATCATACACCACCATCATCACCACCATACACCACCACCATCATACTACACCACCACCACCATACACCACCGTACACCACCATCATCATACACCACCATCATACACCACCACCACCATCATACACCACCACCACCATCACCATACAACACCACCATCACACACCACAACCATACACCACCACCATCACCATACACCAACACCACCACCATACACCACCACCATACACCACCACCACCATACACCACCACCATCATACTACACCACCACCACCATACACCACCGTACACCACCATCATCATACACCACCACCATACACCACCACCACCATACACCACCACCATCATACTACACCACCACCACCATACACCACCGTACACCACCATCATCATACACCACCATCATACACCACCACCACCATCATACACCACCACCATCACCATACAACACCACCATCACACACCACAACCATACACCACCACCATCACCATACACCAACACTACCATCATACACCATCACCATATACCACCACCATCATACACCACCACAACCATACACCACCACCATAACCATACACCACCACCATCATCACCATACACCACCATACACCATCACCATACAACACCACCATCACACACCACAACCATACACCACCACCATCACCATACACCAACACCACCATCATACACCATCACCACACACCACCATCACCACCACACACCACCATCATACACCACCACCACAACCATACACCACCACCATAACCATACACCACCACCATCATCATACACCACCATACACCACCACCACCATACACCACCACCACCATACACCACCATCACCACCACCATCACCATACACCACCATCACCATACACCACCACCACCATACACCACCACCACCATACACCACCACCACCACCATACACCACCATCACCACCACCATCACCATACACCACCACCACCATACACCACCACTATCATCACCACCACCACCATCACCATACACCACCATTACCACCATACACCACCATCACCACCATACACCACCACCACCATTACCACCACCACCACCACCATACACCACCACCACCATACACCACCACCACCATACACCACCACCACCACCATACACCACCACCATCATACTACACCACCACCACCATACACCACCATCATCATACACCATCACCATACACCACCACCACCACCATACACCACCACCACCATCACCACCACCATCACCACCACCACCAACCACCATCACCACCATCACCACCACCACCATCACCACCATCACCACCACCACCATCACCACCATCACCACCACCACCACCATACACCACCACCACCATCACCACCACCACCATCACCACCACCATCACCACCACCACCACCACCATCACCACCATACACCACCACCATCACCACCATCACCACCACCACCATCACCACCACCACCGGTGACGATTCTCTGAACTGGTCCTTCCCCCGGGGTCGACTCAGCCTCAAATGAGTACCTGGTGTAGTGGTGTAGCGGTGTAGCGGTGGTGTAGAGGTGTAGTAGTAGTAGTGTAGTGTAGTGGTGTAGCGGTGTAGTGGTGTAGCGGTGTAGTAGTAGTGGTGTAGCGGTGTAGTAGTAGTGGTGTAGCGGTGTAGTAGTGTAGTAGTAGTGGTGTAGCGGTGTAGTAGTGTAGTAGTAGTGGTGTAGCGGTGTAGTAGTAGTGGTGTAGCGGTGTAGTAGTAGTGGTGTAGTGGTGTAGCGGTGTAGCAGTGTATTAGTAGTAGTGTATTAGTAGTAGTGTAGTTGTGGTGTAGTAGTAGTGGTGTAGTAGTAGTAGTGTAGTAGTAGTGGTGTAGCGGTGTAGTAGTAGTGGTGTAGCGGTGTCGCAGTGTATTAGTAGTAGTGTAGTTGTAGTAGTGGTGTAGTAGTAGTGGTGTAGTAGTAGTGTAGTAGTAGTAGTGGTGTAGTAGTAGTGGTGTAGCGGTGTAGTAGTAGTAGTGTAGTGGTGTAGTGTAGTGGTATAGTAGTAGTGTAGTGGTGTAGCAGTGTAGTAGTGTAGTGGTGTAGTAGTAGTGTAGTGGTGTAGTAGTGTAGTGGTGTAGTAGTAGTGTAGTGGTGTAGTGGTGTAGCAGTGTAGCAGTGTAGTAGTGTAGTGGTGTAGCGGTGTAGCAGTGTAGTGGTGTAGCGGTGTAGCGGTGTAGTGGTGTAGCAGTGTAGTGTAGTGGTGTAGCGGTGTAGTGGTGTAGCAGTGTAGTGTAGTGGTGTAGCGGTGTAGCAGTGTAGTGTAGTGGTGTAGCAGTGTAGTGGTGTAGCGGTGTAGCAGTGTAGCGGTGTAGTAGTAGTGGTGTAGCGGTGTGGTGGTGTAGCGGTGTAGTAGTAGTGGTGTAGCAGTAGTGGTGTAGTAGTAGTGGTGTAGTAGTGTAGCGATGTAGTAAACATCGCTCGCACTGGGAGAGACAAAGGCGGCCGGGCGTGGTGGTGCTGGACACCCACCCCCTCGTGTGCCACAGTGCCGGTAGTCTTCATAGGCAGCTGCTGCTACTCGCTCGCTAACAGCACTTGCCCCTACAGTCTGTTGGAGGCTACACGGGGGACCTTTGTCTGTGTGGCGTGCGTGTGTAGAAGGAGCAGCAGGCTTACCTGGAGGTCTACGAGCTCAAGGAGGACATCGGCGCCGGCTCCTTCAGCGTCTGCAAGCGCTGCGTGCACCGTGCCTCCGGACTTGACTACGCGGTCAAGGTCACCGCTCGCCCGCTCACTCACTCAACCATCCACCCACTCACTCACTCACTCAACCATCCACCCACTCACTCACTCGGTCACTCGCCCGCTCACTCACTCACACACTCACACACTCACACACTCCCTACCTCACTCAACCATCCACCCACTCACTCGGTCATTCGCCCGCTCACACACTCACCCACTCACACACTCACACACTCCCTACCTCACTCAACCATCCACCCACTCACTCACTCGGTCACTCGCCCGCTCACACACTCACACACTCACACACTCCCTACCTCACTCAACCATCCACCCACTCACTCACTCGGTCACTCGCCCGCTCACTCACTCAAACACTCACACACTCACACACTCCCTACCTCACTCAACCATCCACCCACTCACTCACTCGGTCATTCGCCCACTCACCCACTCACTCACTCACCCACTCAACCATCCACCCACTCACTCACTCGGTCACTCGCCCGCTCACACACTCACCCACTCACACACTCACTCACTCACTCACCCACTCACCCACTCACACACTCACTCACTCACACACTCACCCACTCACCCACTCACACACTCACTCACTCAGTCACTCGCCTGCTCACTCACTCACACACTCACACACTCACTCACTCACTCGGTCACTCGCCTGCTCACTCACTCACACACTCACTCACTCGGTCACTCGCCCGCTCACACACTCACTCACTCACCCACTCCCTACCTCACTCAACCATCCACCCACTCACTCACTCGGTCATTCGCCCACTCACCCACTCACTCACTCACCCACTCAACCATCCACCCACTCACTCAATCGGTCACTCGCCCGCTCACACACTCACCCACTCACACACTCACTCACTCACTCACCCACTCACCCACTCACACACTCACTCACTCACTCACACACTCACCCACTCACCCACTCACACACTCACTCACTCACTCAGTCACTCGCCTGCTCACTCACACACTCACACACTCACTCACTCACTCGGTCACTCGCCCGCTCACACACTCACTCACTCACCCACTCAACCATCCACCCACTCACTCACTCGGTCACTCGCCCGCTCACACACTCACTCACTCACCCACTCAACCATCCACCCACTCACTCACTCGGTCACTCGCCCGTTCACACACTCACACACTCACACACTCCCTACCTCACTCAACCATCCACCCACTCACTCACTCGGTCACTCGCCCGCTCACACACTCACACACTCACACACTCACTCACCCACTCACCCACTCACTCACTCACTCACCCACTCACACACTCACACACTCACCCACTCACACACTCCCTACCTCACTCAACCATCCACCCACTCACTCACTCGGTCACTCGCCCGCTCACACACTCACACACTCAGTCACTCACACACTCACCCACTCACACACTCCCTACCTCACTCAACCATCCACCCACTCACTCACTCGCCCATCCACTCACTCACTCGCCCATCCACCCACTCACTCACTCACCCACTCACTCACTCACTCGCCCATCAACACACTCACCCGTTCACTCACTCGCCCATCCACACGCTCACTCAGTCACTCGCCCATCCACACGCTCGCCCGTTCGCTCACTCACTCGGCCATTCACTCGCCCATCCACACGCTCGCCCGTTCACTCACTCACTCGCCCATCCACACGCTCACTCAGTCACTCGCCCATCCACACGCTCGCCCATTCACTCGCCCATCCACACGCTCGCCCGTTCACTCACTCACTCGCCCATCCACACGCTCGCCCGTTCACTCACTCACTCACTCGCCCATCCACACTCTCACTCAGTCACTCGCCCATCCACACGCTCACTCACTCACTCGCTAGTAGAGACTTGTCCCACGTGGAGTGTGTGAGCTACTCGCTGGTAGAGACTTGTCCCACGTGGAGTGTGTGAGCTACTCGCTGGTAGAGACTTGTCCCACGTGGAGTGTGTGAGCTACTCGCTGGTAGAGACTTGTCCCACGTGGAGTGTGTGAGCTACACGCTGGTAGAGACTTGTCCCACGTGGAGTGTGTGAGCTACACGCTGGTAGAGACTTGTCCCACGTGGAGTGTGTGAGCTACTCGCTAGTAGAGACTTGTCCCACGTGGAGTGTGTGAGCTACTCACTAGTAGAGACTTGTCCCACGTGGAGTGTGTGAGCTACTCGCTGGTAGAGACTTGTCCCACGTGGAGTGTGTGAGCTACTCGCTGGTAGAGACTTGTCCCACGTGGAGTGTGTGAGCTACTCGCTGGTAGAGACTTGTCCCACGTGGAGTGTGTGAGCTACTCGCTGGTAGAGACTTGTCCCACGTGGAGTGTGTGAGCTACACACTAGTAGAGACTTGTCCCACGTGGAGTGTGTGAGCTACACACTGGTAGAGACTTGTCCCACGTGGAGTGTGTGAGCTACTCGCTGGTAGAGACTTGTCCTCCACGTGGAGTGTGTGAGCTACTCGCTGGTAGAGACTTGTCCCACTTGGAGTGTGTGAGCTACACACTGGTAGAGACTTGTCCCATGTGGAGTGTGTGAGCTACACGCTGGTAGAGACTTGTCCCACGTGGAGTTTGTGAGCTACTCGCTGGTAGAGACTTGTCCCACGTGGAGTGTGTGAGCTACGCTCTGGGGGAGACTTGTCCCACGTGGAGTGTGTGAGCTACACACTGGTAGAGACTTGTCCCACATGGAGTGTGTGAGCTACTCGCTGGTAGAGACTTGTCCCACGTGGAGTGTGTGAGCTACACGCTGGTAGAGACTTGTCCCACGTGGAGTGTGTGAGCTACGCTCTGGGGGAGACTTGTCCCACGTGGAGTGTGTGAGCTACACGCTGGTAGAGACTTGTCCCACGTGGAGTGTGTGAGCTACTCGCTGGTAGAGACTTGTCCCACGTGGAGTGTGTGAGCTACTCACTGGTAGAGACTTGTCCCCACGTGGAGTGTGTGAGCTACTCGCTGGTAGAGACTTGTCCCACGTGGAGTGTGTGAGCTACTCACTGGTAGAGACTTGTCCCACGTGGAGTGTGTGAGCTACTCACTGGTAGAGACTTGTCCCCACGTGGAGTGTGTGAGCTACTCGCTGGTAGAGACTTGTCCCACGTGGAGTGTGTGAGCTACTCGCTGGTAGAGACTTGTCCCACGTGGAGTGTGTGAGCTACTCGCTGGTAGAGACTTGTCCCACGTGGAGTGTGTGAGCTACACGCTGGTAGAGACTTGTCCCACGTGGAGTGTGTGAGCTACTCGCTGGTAGAGACTTGTCCCACGTGGAGTGTGTGAGCTACTCGCTGGTAGAGACTTGTCCCACGTGGAGTGTGTGAGCTACACACTGGTAGAGACTTGTCCCACGTGGAGTGTGTGAGCTACTCGCTGGTAGAGACTTGTCCCACGTGGAGTGTGTGAGCTACGCTCTGGGGGAGACTTGTCCCACGTGGAGTGTGTGAGCTACACGCTGGTAGAGACTTGTCCCACGTGGAGTGTGTGAGCTACTCGCTGGTAGAGACTTGTCCCACGTGGAGTGTGTGAGCTACTCGCTGGTAGAGACTTGTCCCACGTGGAGTGTGTGAGCTACTCACTGGTAGAGACTTGTCCCCACGTGGAGTGTGTGAGCTACTCGCTGGTAGAGACTTGTCCCACGTGGAGTGTGTGAGCTACTCACTGGTAGAGACGTGTCCCCACGTGGAGTGTGTGAGCTACTCGCTGGTAGAGACTTGTCCCACGTGGAGTGTGTGAGCTACTCGCTGGTAGAGACTTGTCCCACGTGGAGTGTGTGAGCTACTCGCTGGTAGAGACTTGTCCCACGTGGAGTGTGTGAGCTACACGCTGGTAGAGACTTGTCCCACGTGGAGTGTGTGAGCTACTCACTAGTAGAGACTTGTCCCACGTGGAGTGTGTGAGCTACACACTGGTAGAGACTTGTCCCACGTGGAGTGTGTGAGCTACTCGCTGGTAGAGACTTGTCCCACGTGGAGTGTGTGAGCTACGCTCTGGGGGAGACTTGTCCCACGTGGAGTGTGTGAGCTACACGCTGGTAGAGACTTGTCCCACGTGGAGTGTGTGAGCTACTCGCTGGTAGAGACTTGTCCCACGTGGAGTGTGTGAGCTACTCGCTGGTAGAGACTTGTCCCACGTGGAGTGTGTGAGCTACTCACTGGTAGAGACTTGTCCCCACGTGGAGTGTGTGAGCTACTCGCTGGTAGAGACTTGTCCCCACGTGGAGTGTGTGAGCTACACACTGGTAGAGACTTGTCCCACGTGGAGTGTGTGAGCTACTCACTGGTAGAGACTTGTCCCACGTGGAGTGTGTGAGCTACTCACTGGTAGAGACTTGTCCCCACGTGGAGTGTGTGAGCTACTCGCTGGTAGAGACTTGTCCCACGTGGAGTGTGTGAGCTACTCGCTGGTACAGACTTGTCCCACGTGGAGTGTGTGAGCTACGCTCTGGGGGAGACTTGTCCCACGTGGAGTGTGTGAGCTACACGCTGGTAGAGACTTGTCCCACGTGGAGTGTGTGAGCTACTCACTAGTAGAGACTTGTCCCACGTGGAGTGTGTGAGCTACTCACTGGTAGAGACTTGTCCCACGTGGAGTGTGTGAGCTACTCGCTGGTAGAGACTTGTCCCACGTGGAGTGTGTGAGCTACTCACTAGTAGAGACTTGTCCCCACGTGGAGTGTGTGAGCTACACACTGGTAGAGACTTGTCCCACGTGGAGTGTGTGAGCTACTCGCTGGTAGAGACTTGTCCCACGTGGAGTGTGTGAGCTACACACTGGTAGAGACTTGTCCCACGTGGAGTGTGTGAGCTACTCGCTGGTAGAGACTTGTCCCACGTGGAGTGTGTGAGCTACTCGCTGGTAGAGACTTGTCCCACGTGGAGTGTGTGAGCTACTCGCTGGTAGAGACTTGTCCCACGTGGAGTGTGTGAGCTACTCGCTGGTAGAGACTTGTCCCACGTGGAGTGTGTGAGCTACTCGCTAGTAGAGACTTGTCCCACGTGGAGTGTGTGAGCTACTCGCTGGTAGAGACTTGTCCCACACGTGGAGTGTGTGAGCTACACACTAGTAGAGACTTGTCCCCACGTGGAGTGTGTGAGCTACTCGCTGGTAGAGACTTGTCCCACGTGGAGTGTGTGAGCTACTCACTGGTAGAGACTTGTCCCACGTGGAGTGTGTGAGCTACACGCTGGTAGAGACTTGTCCCACGTGGAGTGTGTGAGCTACACACTGGTAGAGACTTGTCCCACGTGGAGTGTGTGAGCTACACACTGGTAGAGACTTGTCCCACGTGGAGTGTGTGAGCTACACACTGGTAGAGACTTGTCCCACGTGGAGTGTGTGAGCTACTCGCTGGTAGAGACTTGTCCCACGTGGAGTGTGTGAGCTACACACTAGTAGAGACTTGTCCCACGTGGAGTGTGTGAGCTACTCGCTGGTAGAGACTTGTCCCACGTGGAGTGTGTGAGCTACTCGCTGGTAGAGACTTGTCCCACGTGGAGTGTGTTAGCTACACGCTAGTAGAGACTTGTCCCACGTGGAGTGTGTGAGCTACACACTAGTAGAGACTTGTCCCACGTGGAGTGTGTGAGCTACTCGCTGGTAGAGACTTGTCCCACGTGGAGTGTGTGAGCTACTCACTGGTAGAGACTTGTCCCACGTGGAGTGTGTGAGCTACTCGCTGGTAGAGACTTGTCCCACGTGGAGTGTGTGAGCTACTCGCTGGTAGAGACTTGTCCCACGTGGAGTGTGTGAGCTACTCGCTGGTAGAGACTTGTCCCACGTGGAGTGTGTGAGATACTAGCTGGTAGAGACTTGTCCCACGTGGAGTGTGTGAGCTACACACTGGTAGAGACTTGTCCCACGTGGAGTGTGTGAGCTACACGCTAGTAGAGACTTGTCCCACGTGGAGTGTGTGAGCTACTCACTAGTAGAGACTTGTCCCACGTGGAGTGTGTGAGCTACTCGCTGGTAGAGACTTGTCCCACGTGGAGTGTGTGAGCTACTCACTAGTAGAGACTTGTCCCACGTGGAGTGTGTGAGCTACTCGCTGGTAGAGACTTGTCCCACGTGGACTGTGTGAGCTACTCGCTGGTAGAGACTTGTCCCACGTGGAGTGTGTGAGCTACTCGCTGGTAGAGACTTGTCCCACGTGGAGTGTGTGAGCTACTCACTGGTAGAGACTTGTCCCACGTGGAGTGTGTGAGCTACTCGCTGGTAGAGACTTGTCCCACGTGGAGTGTGTGAGCTACACACTGGTAGAGACTTGTCCCACGTGGAGTGTGTGAGCTACACACTGGTAGAGACTTGTCCCACGTGGAGTGTGTGAGCTACTCGCTGGTAGAGACTTGTCCCACGTGGAGTGTGTGAGCTACACGCTGGTAGAGACTTGTCCCACGTGGAGTGTGTGAGCTCCTCGCTGGTAGAGACTTGTCCCACGTGGAGTGTGTGAGCTACTCGCTGGTAGAGACTTGTCCCACGTGGAGTGTGTGAGCTACACACTAGTAGAGACTTGTCCGACGTGGAGTGTGTGAGCTACTCGCTGGTAGAGACTTGTCCCACGTGGAGTGTGTGAGCTACTCGCTGGTAGAGACTTGTCCCACGTGGAGTGTGTGAGCTACTCGCTGGTAGAGACTTGTCCCCACGTGGAGTGTGTGAGGTACTCGCTGGTAGAGACTTGTCCCACGTGGAGTGTGTGAGCTACTCGCTGGTAGAGACTTGTCCCCACGTGGAGTGTGTGAGCTACTCGCTGGTAGAGACTTGTCCCACGTGGAGTGTGTGAGCTACTCGCTGGTAGAGACTTGTCCCACGTGGAGTGTGTGAGCTACTCGCTGGTAGAGACTTGTCCCACGTGGAGTGTGTGAGCTACTCGCTGGTAGAGACTTGTCCCACGTGGAGTGTGTGAGCTACTCACTGGTAGAGACTTGTCCCACGTGGAGTGTGTGAGCTACTCGCTGGTAGAGACTTGTCCCACGTGGAGTGTGTGAGCTACTCGCTGGTAGAGACTTGTCCCACGTGGAGTGTGTGAGCTACTCGCTGGTAGAGACTTGTCCCCACGTGGAGTTTGTGAGCTACTCGCTGGTAGAGACTTGTCCCACGTGGAGTGTGTGAACTCCTCGCTAGTAGAGACTTGTCCCACGTGGAGTGTGTGAGCTACACACTGGTAGAGACTTGTCCGACGTGGAGTGTGTGAGCTACACACTGGTAGAGACTTGTCCCACGTGGAGTGTGTGAGCTACTCGCTGGTAGAGACTTGTCCCACGTGGAGTGTGTGAGCTACACACTGGTAGAGACTTGTCCCACGTGGAGTGTGTGAGCTACTCGCTGGTAGAGACTTGTCCCACGTGGAGTGTGTGAGCTACTCGCTAGTAGAGACTTGTCCCACGTGGAGTGTGTGAGCTACTCGCTGGTAGAGACTTGTCCCCCACGTGGAGTGTGTGAGCTACTCGCTGGTAGAGACTT